ATGGAAAGAAAGAGACCGTAAACTAAGCCTAACAAGAACATCATTTTCTCTCAACATTAAGACAGAACCAAGCAAACCCAGAAGATGTCTTCTTTGGCATTACACCAGATAAAACACCAGTACAGCTATCATAACCAGCACCCAAGCAATAATGTCCCACCGTGCTCGGTTTATCGACTTAATCGAGTAGATACCGATAAAGCAACTAGACATGGATATGTTGTTTTCTTCTCCAATGTCATTCTGTAATGGCAGTTTCTGTAGCAGTGATTGCAGTTGTATGTCTACCATGCTGGGTAAAGGCAGCACTCTTGTGGTTTTGGACTCTGTTTGAAGCCTCGGGACATTGATCAGTGTATTACCCGAGACTGTCGGATCATCCAGCTTCACTATATCATCCCTCAGGATATCCGCATAGAAATCTTCTTCACTAGTAACCTGGAAACAATGAAAACTCATGGGGATCAGATCATGAACGTAGACATAGTTTTCAACTTAAGCAGCACATCTGATTGCTAACCATTTGGACATGGACTTTCTAAAATGACAAAACAATTTGGACATGGAACTTATATAGAACCATTTGGTGCATCCACCATGTTAACCCACAAATGTATTGGCATGGCAAGCTATAACGTTATAAATATGCTACCAAATGATACAGAGAAGTAAAAAAAAGAGGACAAACCTGTGGATTTTGTGAAGATTCTGCTATTTCGCTGAGTAGTTCCTGCCCTGATTCACTTGATAAGTAAAAATCAACCATATTCTCCCAACCAGATGTACCATCTGAAATAGCTTCATTCTGCTGGTTTAGGTGCTTGTCAGGTGATAAGTCTGGCTGTTGTGGCTTTTGAACTGCAGCTCCTTTAAATTCAGCATTCCTCCTAAGTCGGCAAATAACCAGAGCATCCTATATGATACTAGAGAAATTTAATAAACACAAGCCAAGGCAGAATAACTACCATGTAAATACATGCCTCAAATAAACGGCTTCTTTAACAATATACTATTTCCCAGTTTGTAGTTTGCAAAACCTTGTATTCCAATGTATTATTATGCGAGGGGAAATAAGTTGAAGAATCAGAAAATAGTTTACCAGTGATACTCCAATCGTGCAGTACTCGTGCATAATCCATTCCGTCCTTCCTCCTTTAGGTGCACGACCAATGTGGAATACAAGTGTCCTCTTTGTTCCAATGACTTCAGAACCTGACTTCACATTCCGTGCTTTTCCTGTGGCTTTCCAGTATCCAATCTTGGTTGCTCTTCTGTTCTGCGAACCGTGGGGATACTTTTTACCACGAGTGCAGAAGAAGAACCATTCGCTGTCAGATTTAACAATGGATGTATCTGCGTAAAAAAAAAAAAATACATTTAGAAGAAGTTGTTAATCTCAAGAAGAGAATCGGAGAAACATAAACTTTAGTCAGAGAGTTGGACAAGAAGATTTCGTTGAGCAAAGCCAACAGTACCTCAATTGCCATAGGCCTGAAGTTGTTTATGAGAAAGTAAAATTACATTCCATGAGAATACTTACAAATGAAAGAGCGGCTTGTAGCGGTTCAAGGCAGAAAAGAGATAACTACAAGTAGGAGTAAATCAGGGACAGATATCAAAGGTTTTGCAAGTCATAGGACTAGCTTTCCCAATTGTACACCAAGGAAAAGTTGAAACACAAAGGTATTTTTCAGTACTTAGATGCATAAGACAAGCTACCAACACAAGCCAAGTAATGACATCTTGACACCAGCTACATGGTTAAAATTTGGCTATATTATCTTATACCACCAAGAAGGAAAAGAAGGCATGTTATCAAAGATGTAACCCAAAATTCATCTTTTCTTGGTAGAAGCAAGACACATGAGATGAATTTCCCGTTGACTTGAGATACAATCAGATTCATGGACATGGGTAATGAGTGAGGAAAGTAGTGCAATTTTATACCAAGTTCACATACAGAAATCTCGAGATTCAATTGGAATTTTCAAAAATTTAAGTCATGAAACATGAAGATAAGTTTG